ATTCCTTTTGCTAATGATGTAACAGGTTGGCATGAAGGCGGGCGGCAAGGCCGTCATCGTGTTCAGCAAGTGAGCGTAGCAAGCCATGGCTGCGTTGGGTGTTCTTCTTTCGTTCCACATCGCTGCAGGCCCACGACGACGACTTGTGCAAATGTTTTGGCGCTTCAAAGCTCTCCCGTCCCGGCAAGCCATGGCAGGGAGAGAGCGGTGGATTTAGGGTCGTATTTTAATGTTCGAAATGTCCATATAACTAGCGTATTTGACAAGGGATGGGTTGGCGGTTTATTATATATGTGCTTCAGTTGAATATGGTCCTTGATTTCTACTTCGCACTCTTCCACGTTTCCTCAGGCTCGCATCCCATGTGAGCTGAGTAGCGCCTAAGAGCCCTGAAGGCTCGTGTTCTTGTAATACATTGCTTGTTGGTGGTAGTAGTTCTTCAACTGATCTGAGAAGCATCCCTGAGACGAGATGATGCGGGGGGTTGGTGTTGAGTGCTGAGTGTGTATGCATTCTATCGGTACCTATTCCTGGCCCACCGCCGCCTTATCAGGCCCAAATGTGGCGCGCATGCTCCCCACTGGTTATCTGCCGGGTGCCTGCTGTAATTGGCGAGCTGCGTCTCAGCTTGCGACGCAACGCCGCCTGCGGAATATGACAACTTTAAAGATTCCATTCCAGTCCAACCTCGCAAGTCCAACACGTTTCACCATTGAACATCCACCGACAGCCTTATCGACACCGCAAAAACGAGCACGCGCGCAAGCCATCTTACGGCCCACGATACACGATAAACGGCAATAAGATCTAGGGACTAGGCTAGGATTCTAGGTCCCTTCCCTTAAATACCTACCTACCTAGGTACATACCTACCGAAGCCTCCGTTGCCGATAACTCCGTGTTTCTCGAGAGCGCACTCTTCGGTATCGCCTGCGCCGTTCAGGCCCCTTTTCGGGACACCGCGCCCATCCGTCCCTTTGCCCGCGCAACCACATTGATGACAGTCCGGTCCGTCATTTCTGAATCATGAGGGTCAGGGGAGCTCTGCAGGCGGCAGCCGTGCTGGCCACAGCCCTCTGGGCGACACCCCTCGCCGCGAAGAAGAACGACCGGCCCACCTTCCACACGAAAGCGTTCGAGAACGCACCCAGGAGCCTCAACTACTTTCCCGACTCGGACACCGTCCTTTTCCAAGACCAATCTGCCAACAATGTCTACCTCTCCAGCGACCACGGCGTGAAGTGGGAGCGCGTGGATGCCGTGCCCGAAGGCAAGGCCTGGATGCTGTCTATGCATGGTTTCGACTCGAACCGCGCCTACATCCTGACCGAAGGCACCACCCACTTTCGGACCAGCGACCGGGGAAAGACATGGGAGAAGTTCAAGTCTGGCATCCAGTTGAGCTTGTTCCGCCCCGACATCCTGCGGTTCCACGCCAACGACCCCGACCGCATCCTCTTCAACGGCATGATTTGTGAAGGCTTGGACTGCCAAGAGGTGGCCCAGTATACTACCGACGGTTTCAAGACGCCTGCTAAGGAGCTGCGTAGGAATACAGACGGTTGTTGGTGGGCCAAATCTTCAGATTTGTTTACCACGGGAGCCGAGGACCTGGACAACAACCGCGTGCTTTGTGTCGTTAGGGACTCGTTCTCCCCATTCAAGCAGGACCAGCGCCTGTTGATCTCGGACAACTTCTTCCGGACCTCGGACGACAGCAGCGACATCCAAGAGTTCGAGCCCGACCTCGACATGAACAAGCCGGTGCAGGGTGTGGTGAGCATCGCAGTGGTGAAGAAGTACTTGCTCGTGGCGACCACCTCCATGAACACGGACGAGATGGCCCTCTTTATCACCGGCGACACCAAGAAGTGGCACCGCGCCGTCTTCCCGGCGAACCACGAGGGCCACGACCACCGGGTCCTCCAGGAGGCTTACACTGCGCTGGAGAGCACCAACTACAGCATACAGATCGACGTCATGACCACCCGGCCCTCCAATCCCATGGGTGTCATGTTCACGAGCAACTCCAACGGCACGTATTTCACCGAGAACGTTCCGCATACTAACCGCAACGAGCGGGGTCATGTCGATTTCGAGAAGGTCACCGGGATTCAAGGCGTTTTCCTCGTGAACAAGGTTGACAACTGGGAAGACGTCGCAAAGAAGGCGAGCACCAAGAAGAAGGTGGTGTCGGAAATTACATTCGATGATGGCCGCACCTTTGAGCCTGTGACGGCTGGCGACAAAAGGATCCATCTCCACTCGGTCACCGAGTTGAGCAACGTGGGCCCCGTTTTCTCAAGCCCCGCACCGGGCCTGCTCATGGCGATCGGTAACAGGGGCGACTACCTCAAGAATTACTGGGATGACGGCAACCTCTACGTCTCGGATGATGCGGGCATGACCTGGAACAAGGCGCTGGATGGCCCGCACAAGTACGAGTTCGGTGACCAGGGTTCCATCCTCGTCGCTGTGCGGGACTCCAAGGAGGTCGACGTCAGCGAGATCAGCTACTCGCTCGACCACGGACTCACCTGGACTAAGCAGGCCCTGCCCGACGATCTCAAGATTCGGCCCTACATTCTCACGACCACGCAAGAATCGGCCAGCCTCAAATTCCTCCTTATCGGCATGGTGAAAGAGTCGCCGAGCTGGCAAGTCATCTCCATCGATTTCGACGGCCTCCATGAGGCCACTTGCAAGGAGGATGATATGGAGGAGTGGTTTGCTCGGGTGGACAAGGACGGAAAGCCGACTTGCCTGATGGGCCACACCCAAAGCTTCCCCCGCCGCAAGAAGAAGGCCGAATGCTTCTTGAAGCAGGAGTTCAAACACCCCGTGTCAAAGACGGAGAACTGCGAGTGTACCGACAAAGACTACGAATGTGACTTCAACTTTGCGAGGGAAGACGGCAAGTGCGTGGCCAAGGGCCCCATCATTCCGCCCGAAGGAGTGTGCCGCGACGCTAAGCCGGACGATACCTTCAAGGGGACATCGGGATACCGCAAAATTCTCGGAAACACATGCAAGGAGACCAAGGAGATGGATGACAAGTACAAAGACGTCGAGAGGAAGTGCTCCGAGATTGGTGGCGGCGGCGGTGGCAAGCCCTCGACCCCGGCGACGGATAAGATCGAGCAGATTGAGAACGTCTTCGACAAGGACTGGGATAGGTGGGAGAAGCATTACCTGGAGCGGGGCGAGTCGAGCTCCAGTGAGGGCGAAACCATCATCATGCGCGGACGGACAAAGTCGAAGCTCGGCCCTATCTACGTGACGGAGAACCACGGCAAGGAATGGCACGTCCCGAAGTACCTCAAGGAGGAAGAGATCGTGCACATCGTTCCGCACCAGTACTTCAAAGATATGGTCTTTTTTATCACCACCGGAAAGAAGATCATCTACACCACCGACCGCGGCCGCACCTACCACAGCTTCAAGGCGCCCAACGAGCCTTCTGACGACGTGATGCCCCTGTCCTTCCACCCGGACAAGAAGAACTGGCTGATCTGGAACGGCAAGAAGTGCGAGAGCTCTGACGACTGCTTTGGCGTAGTCTCTTACTCCAAAGACGGCGGTGACCACTGGCAGACGGGTGGCAGCATCTATACCCGGCGTTGTGAGTTTACCGGCTCGCGCGCCTACAAGTATCCCGGACGCAAGGAGGAACAGATACTCTGCTTGAAGCACGAGAAGGAGAGCAAGGCCAAGGACAACCCGATGGTGCTGATCTCGACTAACGATTGGTTCGACAACGAGGAGATCCGCCAAAAGAATGTGAGGGAGTTCGCTACCATGGCCGAGTTCGTCGTCGTTGCCACCGAGAATTCGGCCAACAAGACGTTGCAAGCCAGCGCGAGTCTTGACGGGGCGACTTTTGCGGACGCGCTGTTTCCCCACGGCTTCGTTGTCCCGCACCAGCATATCTACACGGTCCTCGACAGTTCGACGCACGCCGTCAACTTGTTTGTCGCTACCAGCATGGACGGGAACCTCTGCAACTACGGTAGCATTCTCAAGAGCAACTCCAACGGCACCTCGTACGTGGTCAGCGTGGGGAATGTCAACTGCGACGAGGACTCTTACGTCGACTTCGACAAGATCGCCGGCCTGGAAGGCGTTGCGCTGGTGAACGTGGTCGCCAACCCCGACGCCGAGAGCAGCGCCCCGAAGAGGCTGCAGACCAAGATCACGCACAACGACGGTGCGCAGTGGGCGTACTTGTCGACGCCTCCCAACGACGATATCGGCAAGTTCCCTTGCCAGTCCAGCGGCGATGAAAAGTGCGCCCTGCACTTGCACGGCTACACGGAACGCAGGCTCCGCGGCAATACCTGGTACTCGTCGGAAAGCGCCGTCGGCATCATGGTTGCGTGGGGCAACGTCGGCGACAGCCTGGGCCCCCGCAAGGATTCGGATACCTTCATGACTACCGACGCGGGCCTCACCTGGAAGCGGGTCAAGCAGGGGCAGTGGACCTGGGCGATCGGCGATCAGGGCGGCATCATCGTCCTCATCCAGACCACGTCCGTGTCGCGGAAGAAGACCAAGAGCCTCGTCTACTCGCTCGACCAAGGCAAGACCTGGAAAGAGCACGAATTTGCGTCCGACGAGGTCGAGGTGTGGGACGTGACCACGCTGCGGTCCGGCAGCTCGCAGAACTTTTTGCTCTGGGGCAAGGGCAGCAAGGGCCCCTTCACGCTGAAGCTGGACTTCTCGGGCTTCAGCGAGGACGTGTGCAAGGTCGACGACGACCCGGACAAGTCGGACTACTACCTCTGGTCGCCCAAACATCCCATGCAGCCCGACGGCTGCCTCTTCGGCCACGTCTCGCAGTACCTACGCAAGAAGTCGGACCGCAAGTGCTACAACGACTTTAAGCTGCAGCCGCTCTACGGCAAGGAGGACTGCAAGTGCACGCGAGAGGACTTTGAATGGTAAGTCACACACCCCATCCCCACCCCTTCTTCTCCCCCCGTACTAACCCCCCCTCCCAGCGACTACAACTACCAACTCGACCCCTTCGGCCAATGCTCTCTCGTCCCGGGCCTCGAACCCGCCGACCCCTCCGCCTGGTGCAAGCAACACCCGGACGAGATCGAATACCACGAACCCACCGGCTACCGGCGCATCCCCCTCACCACCTGTGTCGGCGGCCGCCAGCCCGACAAGGAATCCCCCGTGCACGCGTGCGCCGGCCACGAGGAGGACTTTGAGCGCAAGCATGCCGTGTCCGGGCTGGCGCTGTTCTTTGCCATCACCGTCCCCTTTGCGCTGGCCGGCGCCGCCGGCTGGTATGTCTGGCGGAATTGGAACGGCAAGTTTGGCCAGATTCGCCTCGGCGATCAGGGCGCGGCTGTGTTTGAGGCCGACCGGCCCTGGGTCAGGTACCCGGTTATTGTGCTCAGTGCGGTGGCGGCCGTGGTGGTGGCGTTGCCGGTGGTGGTGGGCGCTGTGTGGAGGAGTGTGAGCGGGTTGCTTGGGGGGAGGGGTGGTGCGGGTGGTGGTGATGGGCGTGGGAGGTGGAGTCGGCTGGGTGGTGGGGGGGGGGGGGGGGGGAGGAGGTTTACGACGAGGGATAGCTTTGCGAGGGGCGGGGATTATGCGGTGGTGGATGATGATGAGGGCGAGTTGTTGGGGGAGGATAGTGATGAGGAGGTATGAGCTGAAGAGCTTGTGGGCTTGTGAGCTTGTGAGCTTGGAGTGGTGGGGTGGGTAAGGAGGGAGGGGGTTTGGGTTTAGGGGGGGGGGCGGTATTCTCACTTTCTTTCTTTTTTTGGGTGTAGTCTCTGAATATACATGGGTGGATGGATGGATGGATGGATGGAAGGGTACGATATTGAGATTTGGTGAAGGCTGGGAATGCATTGTAGTTAGCGATTGGGTTGTGTGTGCGTGTGTGTGAGATGCACGGCCACAAAAGATAATTTCCGGACTATGGTTGTCCCCGTGTCTTGTCTGTCCCTTCTACGATACACAGCAACTTTGGGCTTAGGTACAACGGAAACGGATCGGGTGCATCTCAAAGACCGAACGATGATGTGGTGGCCGATC